TGAGAGCCGGAGGAGGGAGGAGGGAGGACGGAGGAGGAGGAGGTTGAGGAGGAGGAGGAACAGGGGGATGAGAAGGAGGAAGAGGAGGAGGAGGAGGAGGAGGAGGAGGAGGAGGAGGAGGAGGAGGAGGGGGATGAGGAGGAGGAGGAGGTGGAGCGTAGCCGAAGGAGTCCCACGTCCCACTCTACTCAGACTCCTCCCCTCGCGCCTCCACCACGCTGTCGTGGAGGGCCTGGGGGTCGAGGAGCCGCCGCTGGCGCCCCCTTGTTGGGAGGCGCACCGACACTCGAATGGCCTGAATAATGGACATCGCACGAGCAGGGTCAGAGCCGATCCCGCGGTGCACTGCCAGACGGTACGAGTGATATAGATAAACACAGAAAGCAGGTGACCCGAGGAGACCGAGTCTGAATCTACACTTAGCCGGCAACGGGGTCCTGCAGGCCAGCGAGGCCAGCCAATGGAGCCGACGACAGGACCCCAAATAGTGGTCGACCGAATCACGGCTATCTTCGCACCCCAGCACACACTGAGCACACCGCTGCATACGAGAGTTGGTGGGCCATGCTCCCAGCCACGTCTTCAGCAGGCAGATTCTCCAGGCACAAGGGAGGGAGGCAAGCAGCGTTTGTAGCCGCTCCCACCCCCCCTCATCACGCGACGGGGGGGGGCTCTCCGTACCACTTCAGGAGGCGACGTTCAAGCGTCACAAGGATCGTGCAATCAAAAACTTGTCTTTGAAGTATGGAGCCGAACACACGCTGCCATTTCGGACGATTTCACAGGGATCCAGCACCGAACATCCACAGAGCCTCACGCCCACCCGCCTCCCAGGACGGCCCACCCCCCACACGCGGTCGCTGGGTCCCAGGGAAGCCCTCGGCGGCGTGGCCCATCAGGGCGGCAATGGCATCGATCTTCCAGAATGATGGGCTTAGGGACAGGGAGGAGGAGTCCAGGGCGGAGAGGGGTCCGTGGTGTGCCGCCACGTGTCTGAGACGACGCAAGAGTGGCTGCCATGACCGCGGAAGAGCGACAAGCGCGCACCGCATTCGAGCAGCAGCACACGTCGAAACCAGGGCCGAAATTTTCGGGCCACCGATGGCCTCGAGGCTGAGCCAGTCTGACATTCCCATGGCCGAGGCAGCACATCTCCAATATCTCGAAAACCAGAAGCGTTCAGTGCGGCCGAGGGCCCATGGGAGGGGGAGGAGCTGAGCTATGTACGAAGCGCAAGGGGCCACCCTGGTGGCGTGGAGGCGGAGGAGGGAGGCAGCACCAGCACCAGTCTTCACGAGCTCCCGAACTCGGGAGATCATCTTAGTCCACGGCACATCCCAATAAGAGGCAAGCGAGGCCTTGAGGAGGAGGAGGAGGAGGAGGAGGAGGAGGAGCAGCAGCAGCAGCACGCGGAGTTGGAGGAGCAGGCGGAGGCGGAGGAGGAGGGGGAAGAGGAGGAGAGAGAGAGATAGAGAAACAGAGAGAGAGAGAGAGAGAAAAAAATAAAGAAAAGAGATAAACAGAGAGAGAATGGACGACAGAGAGAAAGAGAGAGAGAGAGAGAGAGAGAGAGAAAAACAAATAACCAAACAACAATGGAAATCAACAGAAAAAGGGCGGGAACGTTGAGTCAAGGAGTCGCCTCGAAGAAGCCCCCAAGAAGCTCCCAGCAGACCCTAATGGTGCCCCAAGAGACCCCCAAGAAACATCATCCTCCTACGCTTCCTCTTCCTCTTCCTTTTCCTCTTCACGTTCATTCTCCCCCACATGTTCCCCGAAAGCTTTCCAAACCGACTCGGGGAACACATGGTCCGATAGCTTCGCCCCCCAAGATGTCTCCAAAACGGCCCAAGATGCCTCCAAGACGGCCTAGCATGGCGTCAATATTGCCCAAGACGGCCCAAGAGGCCCCCAAGAGGCCCCCAAGAGGCCCCCAAGAGGCCTCCAAGACGGCCCAAGCGGCCTCCAAGAGGTCCTCCAGGAGGGCCCGAAGAGATACAAATCATCAATTTGCCCTAAGTGATTCAAGGATGTTGGCATGTGCTTCTTCTCGCCAATCCGACGGCTCAAGACGGCCCAAGAGGCCTCTTCCTCTTCCTCTTCATGTTTATTCTCCCCCACGTGGTCCCCGAAATCTTTCCCAAACCGATTCGGGGAACACATGGTCCGATAGCTTGGCAAGCCTCTGGCCACAACATTCGGCCACATAGGAGCTTCCGAAAGGGCAGGGGGGCGGCAATGACTCGCCGTTGGCGTCTTCGATCCGACGCCCCCTATTGATTCATCACAGGGGTGCCTGGCGTGCTGGATGTCTTACGTTCTGGTTTCCGCTCTTTTTTCACAAGAACTCCCCCTGGGGCGTCGGCCCGTCCCGCCAGCTGCCTGCCTCATCGGCTTCTTTGCTCAAGATGGCCCAAAGATGGCCTCCAAGATGCCTCCAAGACAGCCAAAATGGCCTCCAAGACATCTAAGATGGCCTCAAGACGCCTCCAAGACGGCCCAAGATGCACCCAAGACGGCCTAAGATAGCCTCAAGATGGCCCAAGCCGGCCTAAGAGGCTCCCAAGAGGCCTCCAAGAGGCCTCCAAGACGGCCCAAGAGGCCTCCAAGAGGTCCTCCAGGACGGCCAAGAGAGGCCACAATGATTGATATCCCTCAGGTGTTTGAAGGTGTTTGACATTTGCTTCTTTTCGGCCTTCCGACGGCCCGAGACGGCCCAAGAAGCCCCAAAGATCGCCCCAAGATCGCCCAAGAGGTCTCCAGTATGGCCCCAGAACGGCCGAAGACGCCCCCAAGACGGCCCCAAGAGGCCCCCAAGACGGCCCAGGAGGCCTCTAAGACGCCTAAGATGGCCTTCAAGACGGCCATGGAGCACCCCAAGAAGGCCACGGGATGCCTTTGACGGCGTCAGACGGGCTAGGAGCCCACCAAGACGGCCAAAGAGACCCTCGAGAAACCCCCCAAAGGTCCAAGAGGCTCCCAGGAAGCTCCCAGGAGGCCCCAAGAGTGTCCCCAGAGGCTACCAAGATGCCCCCTCCTCCTCCTCCTCCTCCTCATCCTCCTCCTCCTCCGCCTCCTCTTCCGCCTCCTCTTGATCTTCCCCGCCATCCTCCCCCAAGTGTTCCCCGAAGGGTTTCCACCACGGTTGGGGGAACACGTGGCCCGATACCGTGGCAGAGCTTTTGCCACAACGCTCGGCCACATGGGCGATTCTACAAGGCGGGGGGCGGCGGTGATTCGCCGTAGGCGTCTTTGATATCTGATGGCTGCTTCTTGGCAACGCAGAGGCCAATCCCGCTGGCTCGGTGCCGGCCTCCTCCCTTACTCTGGGCACCTCTTCGGACGCATGCGCGAGCCCGCTGGGTGCGCGCTGATGCGGTCAGAGAGCACTTCAGGCCCGGATGTGGGTTTCATAAGCCCGGTTCCGTGTAGGGATTGAACTTGCATGTGTGTCTGAGTAGTTTCGCCTTGCGCATGTGTTAACACTGGCAGGTAATAGGGACTGAACTATGCTTGCAGCCCGAGGAGTTCAAGGTTGACGTTACCCATCGTTCGGACGAGGCGGGTAAAAAACGGAAAATAGGAAAACTATAAAAGTACATTTGATTTCCGCCCCGTCCCTGAACAAGAAAGGAATGGGAAAGCCATTCGAGTCTTCAGATCGGAAAGACCTAAAACATGAGGGAATAAGGCAATCAGCACGTATATGCTTTTAAAGAACGGTGGGTCATACTCCTCGGGGTCAACTCGACCGCAAGCTTGATCGTGGAGGGAATCGCAGTGCAACGCAATGTGTTGGTGTCGTGTCTTCGCGCCGGTATGTCTGGACTGACGATGAAGGTGTAACGTGAATGAGCTGCGCGTGGCCTGCGTAAAACTCACGTGTGCGCGCGGGCTTAAATCCTCGACGCGGGCGCTGTTCGCACAGGCGAGAGCGGAGAGCACTAGAGTCTGGGCCCCCGTCGGAGGCCCCAAATCTGGGCGAAACCGTCGCTCTCCCCAGGAATACCAACCGCAGCATGTCAGCTTGTATTACATCGGCCAAGTTTTTAGGCCTGCGCCCATGTGAAGTGCAAGTCGTCTGGTGGTGTGTGTTTGTTATATTTTCGCTTGGGTTACGTGCGACTCGTGCTTGAACTGGATCTGTTCTCGGCTTGAAGTATGGGCTCCATCGGATATGGCGGAAGTCTACATATTTTCGCTCATAACTTGCAGGTAAACCGCCTATGGAACAAACTTGGAAATGTGTCGACCTGCTTGCGACCATTTTGGTACTGAGTTTGCATGGGATGCGTTGCCGAACTGAACCTGACGAATCAGGTGTTATGGTATCGAGGCTGGATTCATTCTGAGCTGGTGTTCGCTGTCCGTTCCACTTGCATGCGATATGAATTGGACTTGTGCTTTGAATCGAACTGCGCTCTTACGCAAAGACATATGTACACCAGTGCCGCCTGTGCCCAAGGCCATCCTGGACCCTTGCATCGTGTACATGCCCTCCTGACCGAGGCCAGGAGGGTCTGCTCACCATGCTAAACAGCTCAAGGTGGCCCCGGCCAGGCATGGTGGTGGTGTGCAGATACCTTCTGCGGAGCTCCTGGGACGTCGTAAGCTCGATAGATCGGTAGGCATATAGCAACCGCACAGAGATGAGATGAACCAAATACAAAACACAAGCGCGAACCAACTGCCACCCCGACCCGTCTCATCGGCCGCATGCTAGTCTAGTAAGTACGTTCGGAACCCAACTCGTTGTATATGGACGCTGTCGGTCGAATCCCCCAGGCAGTGGATAATAAACGAACGCTACACCTGCTTTTGACAAATTGCCATTTAGCGGAAACTACGCGGAAGCAGACGTTCACAACACTCGTGCGGCTCGCGCGCTGGATGGTTCGTGGCCAATCGGCATGGGAGAATTATCGCAGCACCCAATTGCCAACTTTGGATGTGTCTGGGAGGGGATGATAAGAAGAACGCTGATCAACGGAGAAGGATGAGTAGGCAACTCGCCGCGCAAGCTCGTTGGAAGATCCAAGCCGCTCAGTCAAATCAGTTCGGGGAAGTAACTAATATCCCAACGCTGCGGCGGGAGAACGTAGTCAAGGTCAGGCCTTGGGCCTCGACCTTTTCCACGCGCGAGCTTCATGTCATGCCATAGTGGAACATCCCAGAAGGTCGCAGGATCTAAGCCGTAGATCCTGAATGCTAGTCTATGGCAAATCTAAGATCTAGGATTAAGAATAGTGGATCTCCTATGTTGCGTGTGTGCAATGATCATATACCACTGGATATACATCACCATCACGCAACACATTTGCTGGTATCAACATAATGTTCCGTCGCTATCGGCATTGGATCGCAACCGCCGCAAACATCCCGCGATAGGCCGAACGTGGTCAGTCGAGAAAAGATGATAGCACTCATTTTGTACACGCAGAGGCAAGGAGGAAAGGGAAATGGAAAATAGGAGGGAACGACGGAGGGTGGGAGAGATATAGAGAGATCGGGTTGCCGCGGCGAGGTTTGCGGTGGGCGGCACGGAGGAAAGGCGAGGCAGAGGGGGGGGGGCGGCACAGGGAGGGCGAGGGAAAAGGCGGGGCGGGGGAGGGGGAGAAGTTCGGGGAAGGCGAGGCCGGGGGCGGGAGGGACGGGGCAGGGGGGAAGGGAGGACGGAAGCGAGAGGGCAGGGGAGCGGAGGGAGAAAAGGACAGTGGAGGAAGAGAACAGGGCGAAGAGAGAAAAAGAAAATTTCGCTCCGCCGCCACTCGAGCCACCGCGCAGGCGGGCCTCGGGGCCTTCGGTCCCAGCCTCAAGCCTCCCTCCTCGCCTCAACCCCCGCTCGCCTCAACTCCCATTTGTCCTCTGCTTCCTTTCGCTTTGTCTTTCCTCGGCCGTAGGTCGCCCCCTCCTTGCCCCGGCCTTTCTTCAGGCCTCCAGCCGGTCATCCGCCCATTCGTTCCTCGGGCCTCCTCCAGTCCTCAGCCTTTCTTCGGGCCTCGGCTTCCATCCCGCCTTTTCTCTCCTCGGCCTTTTCTGTCCTCAGCCTGTCCTCAGCCTTTATATCGGGCTCGCGGCCTCGTCCGCCTCGCGGCGTCGTCGTCGTTCCTCAGCCGCGCCCTCTCGCCGTCAATCAGCGGCGCGTCCGCGTTCTGGTCGAAACGCAATGCCGCAGCTTCGAACTGGGCATCGGCCTCGCGTTGTTCCATCTCCCGGTTGTGCGCGGGCGTCGCTGCTCTCATGATCCGTTCCACTTCTTGTGCGATGCAGTCCTGGGGTCGCCAACTATTGGTATTGATTCATTCCCTCCGCCCTCATTCCATCCCCCGATCACCGCCCTCCCAACCCCCCCCATGACCTTCTTCGCCTGGTCCGCCTCTCCCTCGCTCATCGGCGCTTACGGTTCGCCCCCATCGAAATGGCGCTCGCGAAGCCCCCGTTGCTTGATCCGCGGCTGCGCGATGCTCTCTGCGCGCCCGACGGCGCCCCGGAACCGCCGGCGACGCCCCGTTTCCGCCGCCCCCTCGCTCGGCGTCATCAGCCCCCGCGCGCGTGATCGCGCGCGCGACGCCCCCTGCTCGGTGAGCTCCGCGGCTGCCAAGTCACTGCGCAGCACCAGGTGTTTCCGCGGAGCGGCGGCCCCTCCTCGCCCCCCTCCGCCCCTCCCCCCGCGACCCCCCCCCCCCGCGGCGCGCGCAGTGGTGGGGGGCGATCGACAGGGCGCGGAGGGATCGGGCAAGGAGGCGACGCGGGCAGGGCGCGCGAGGAGGGCTGAAAGGGAAATCGTAGAAAGAGATAGAGAGAGAGAGAGAGAGAGAGAGAGAAAGAAAAAGAGAGAGAGAGAGAGAATGAAAGACAAACCAAACATACAGAGAGAGAGAGAGAGAAACAACACTATATATATATATACAAATACGTATAGGTAGAGAGAGAGAGAGAGAGACAAAGAAAGAGAGAGAGAGAGAGAGCGAAGGGCATAAGGAATCACATGTTTTATGTGTGTATGTATGTATATATATATATATATATATATATATATATATAGGTATGTCTATATACATATACATATATATATATGATATCAAAATGGGGGGCCGAACGGTCATTCATTATCCCTCGGTGCGTGGCTGAAGTGTGGATCCGTGGTGAGGGTTCTGCTTGTTGCGTCGTTGATTGCTGTTCTTGTTGTCGTTGTTTATTGTCGTCGCCCCACCCGCGACCCACCCCGCGACCCGCCCGGCGACCCGCCCCGCGACCCACCCCGCGATCCGCCCAGCGACCCACCCCGCGACCCACCCGCGACCCAATCCGCGACCCACCCGCGATCCAGCCCGCGACCCGCTCGCGACCCGCCAACGACCCGCCCGCGACCCATGCCGCGACCCCCCCGCGACCCCCCCGCGACCCATCCGCGACCCACCCGCGACCCGCCCGCAACCTACTTGCAGCCCGCCCGCGACCCACCCCGCGACCCGCAACCAACCCGCGACCGACTCACCTTGATCCAACAAAAACATTAGCGCCGGCGGCGGGCTCGTTGCATAACGCGCGAAACTTCGGCACTGGCGGCGGGCTTCCCCAAGGACTCACAAGCTGCTGCCCCCGCCGCCCCCTCGCTCGCATCCGCATTGAGGGTGCTGCGAATACATCTATATCCATATATATATATAGAGAGAGAGACAAAACAAGAAAGAAAGAGAGAAAGGGGAAAGAGAAAGAGAAACAAAGACAGAGAGAGAGAGAGAGATGAACACATTAGCCTGGCGAAGGACCCAACCATATGCAGTTGTGGGTATCGCATTCGGGGGAGTTCCCTATGGGGCCACGAAGCGCTGTACGGGGAAGGGGGGATGAATGCGAACTGCGCCAGTGGGACCTTCGGTGGAGCTCCCTATGGGACAACGAAACGCTGTACTGGGTGGGGGGACGCCTGCGGGCTGTGCCACTGGGACCTTTGGTGGAGCTCCATATGGGGCCACGAAGCGCTGTACTGGGCGGGATGAACGCATGCGAACTGCGCCGCTGGGACCTTCGGGGGAGCTACCTGTGGGGCCACGAAACGCTGCCCTGGGTTGGAGGGGGGGGGGGGCGCATGCGAACTGCGCGCCACTGGGGCCTTTCGATGGAGCTCCCTATAAGGCCACGAAACGCAGCCCTGGGTGAGGAAACCGCATGCGGGCTGTGCCACTAGGACCTTCGGTGGAGCTCCCTTTGGGGCCACGAAGCGCTGTACTGGGTGGGGGAACCGCATGCGGGCTGTGCCACTGGGACCTTCGGTGGAGCCCCCTATGGGGCCACGAAGCGCTGTACTGGGTTGGAGAACCGCATGCGGGCTGTGCCACTGGGACCTTCGGTGGAGCCCCCTGTGGGGGTACGAAGCGCTGCCCCGGGCGGCGGAGCCGCATGCGGGCTGTGCCACTGGGACCTTCGGTGGAGCTCCCTATGGGGCCACGAAACGCTGCCCTGGGCATGGGAACCGCGCGTGGGCTGTGCCACTGGGACCTTTCGGTGAAGCTCCTTATGGGGCCACGGAACGCTGCCGGAAGCGCATGCGGGCTGTGCCACTGGGACCTTCGGTGGAGCTCCCTATGAGGCCACGAAGCGCTGTACTGGGTAGGGGAAACGCATGCGGGCTGTGCCACTGGGACCTTCGGTGGAGCTCCCTATGTGACCACGGAGCGCTGCCCTGGGTGGGGGAGCCGCGTGCGGGCTGTGCCACTGGGGCCTTCGGTGGAGCTCCCTATGGGGCCACGAAGCGCTGCCCTGGGCGGGGGGGCCGCATGCGGGCTGTGCCACTGGGACCTTCGGTGGAGCTCCCAATTGGACGAAACGCTGCCCTGGGTGGGGGAGCCGCATGCGGGCTGTGCCACTGGGACCTTTCGGTGGAGCTCCTTATGGGGCCACGAGGCGCTGCCCTGGGTGGGGGAGCCGCATGCGGGCTGTGCCGCTGGGACCTTCGGTGGAGCTCACTACGGGGCCACGAAACGCGCGAGGGATGCGCCAAGAGCAGAAGCAAGAAGGGGGGGGGAAGATGGGGGAAGGCGGGGGGGAGAAGGAGGAGGAGGACGCGGGGCGCTGTCTCTTCAAAACGACGACCCAACACCACAGG